ATTTAACTGTGAAAGTAATTTTAGAAATTTTGAAAAAGTACTTATACCAGAGTAAAATTGCACTAAACCAATGTTATAAACAGCTGGACAAGATAAGGTACTATAATGTTTGTAACATAGGTTAAGTGTGATTTTTCTTCTGTATAACCCAGTGTGAAGTGAAAATTGTTTTTGTCAATTATCAGTAAAGAAGTATTTATTAAAAGAAATAATTTGTGAGAAATTTATATTAATTTACAAAACTAATTTATACATGATAAGTTACTGCTTTTTTATTTCTACAAATAAAAAAATAACTGATTAATAACTTAATATTAATTAAAATATACTCAAATAAAACTTGAACAATTTAATACAGAATAGTGTGAACTTGAGAAATGTTATATGTGCATATGTTGAAAAGGTTTAAGTTTTTTACTAATAAGCAAAGGTTATTATTATAATGAAAAACTAATCACAAAATTATATAAGATATGATGAGTTTTCAGATAAAGACTTTAAGAAAGATAATGATATTATTTTGGTTTTTATTGATTATAATTGGTAAATAAATTATTGACAATTTTTCCAATAGGTTAAAGCAAATTTTAGATTATTAATAAAGTTGAAATTCACTTTCATCTGTGTGAATATCAGATATAAAATTATACAACATATATTATGCACTGCTAAGTGTGTTAATATTTGACATAATTTTATAATAAATGACTAATATACTTTTTAATTAATTGAATAACTCGACTGCATCTGTTTGGAAAAAGGAAGTTAGGCACTATGTTCCTTTCTTCTCTTTTATTATGAAGTTATAGAAGATTATCATCTTTATCTTCTATAGCAGAAGATGACAGTATAATTTATTGAAATTTTTTCTTATTTGGTAAAATTCATTATTGTATGATTGCAAATTTGTCCATATAATGTTAAAAGTTGATTTAATACTTATTGATCAAAACAAAGAAAATCAAAGTGATAAATAGAATAACATATCTTATATTTAATTTTAAGATAAAATAGAAATGTTTTTAGAAGAAAAATTGTGTTGTGGATTAAATTCAAATGAGTACATAAAGAAGAAAAAAGTTGAGATAAAATCATATAAATAATTTATCTTAATTCCTTATTATTTCTTTGAATTATATTGTAGAGAAAGATATAAGAAACAGTCACTCAGATTCTTGAATTAGTTTACCTCTTTTGATGTGTTAGGTAATCATATAAAAATAAAAAAAATAAAATAAGTATGAAAATCTACTGAAGCTGGAGGATTAATTTTAAAAAATGCTCTAAATGAATAAGTTTAAACTATTGCTGTAATTTTAGAAAATTAATAACATAAATACAGTGGTGCCTCGTATAACGTACGCCTCGAATAACGGACTTTCTGTTTGACCGTTACGTGACTCGAGCAACGGACTTGCTGCGAACAACGAACTTTCCATTCGGCAGTTACGTGAGACAAACAATGGACTTTTTTCGAACAAGTGCAAATGGTGTTTCCACTCTTTTGCCGTTGCCAATGACAATCTGCTATTTTTAGGATATATTAGTATTATTAGAATGTATTATTAGTATATCTGAAGTAGAAATGTAATGTAATATATGTTGATGATTTAAATAAACATTAAATGTAATGTAATATATGTTGATAATTTAAATAAACATTAAATGTAATGTAATATATGTTGACGATTCAAATAAACGAAATGTAATTGTGTAGATGCCGAGGTGGCGGGACGAAAAGAGGTTGTAAAAAACAAACGGAGCGAGAGTAGCTCGTAGAAGTGTTTAGTGATCTTAATTAATAAAGAATTATTCGTATCATATAATCTGGCAAGTTAAGTCATTTATAATGCATCATGGCTTCTAAAAAAAAAAAAAAGGAAAGGTGATTTCAATTGAAACAAAGCAAGAAATCATCAGGAGTGAAAGTTGACAAAAACTTTCTTGTCGAATGGGGAGAGGTTCAGGAGTTTACCAACACTCATTATCCAAACAGAGCTGAGGCCAACAGGATCAATGATCTCTACGATGACACCTTTGTCCGTCATTTCCGACAGGTGTTAAAGAAGAAAGAGAAACAGACCACCTTGGTCATGTTTTTCAAGAAGCCAGCGGGCAAAAAACAAAGGATGGAACAAGAGAAGTTGACCCTGCAAGTTCCGGTAGCCTCTCCTGAATCTGACTCCGATTAAAAAACAATAAAAAAAGACCCGCTGCAATGTGTAAAAAGTCTGTATCTGTATGAATGTGTAAAGAAAGTGTTCTTCCACCTCCTCCTCACAACATCTGACTACCCGGCATAATTGGTGTCTGCTCCATTTTCATTTTTTATGGTACAGTACGGTTATTTTATGCTGCGGAACGAATTATATGTTTTAACATGTATTTCTATGGGAAAATGCGTTTCGTATAACGGACGTTTCACTTAACGGACGTGCACCTGGAACGGATTAAGTACATTGTACGAGGCACCACTGTAAATTTGAATTATATTTGGACATTAAAACTTTCTTAAAAATCATTGAAAAATAAAATATTTCCAGTATTTACTATTAAATTTTGGACAAAATATTCTCAAAAAGTTTAATAAAAAGATGACTGCATAGAAACCAACTAATATGCTCAACAATCTTTTTAAGCAGCAAAATAATAATTAATAACAAAGACACTCACTCTTATTAAAAGACCATATTCAGGTTAAGAAGAAAAAGTTTGTTTGAGAATTAAGATCAAATATGTCATAAAGTATTAAATATTATATCATAAAAATGAGATTGCTAGAAATAAATTATTAAAATCAATGAATTTTTTTTATTGCTTAAATATAAGAGGTATAATGTTTAGTACTATGTTTGTATATTTTTTCCCACATGGAAATATCTCATTGAATTAGCTTTTTTATTAAAAAAGTGTAATCTCAAAAATATATTTGAGGTTCATAAGTTTTCAGTCAGTTGTTGAAGCTAATTGCTAAAGAATAATAATTTAGATTCAAAGATTTAATTTAGTATGCCGAAGAAAGTTTATACATTTTTTTTTAATAAAAAAGAAACTATAAAATATACATTTCTCTGTAGCAATGGATAATAAATGTTGAAAAACAATAAACTTTTTTAAATTCTATTTATTTTTTTTCATAAATGAAAAAAAAAGAAAAAATAAAATTTAAGAAAGTTTAAAATACAGTTAAAACTGTATTTTAATGTATTTATTTTGTTTTTAAATGGAATTCTATTAATTTTGATTTACCTGTTTTATTTAAAAAATGAAAATTATCTTCTAAGTTAGAAATTTGATCTAAGTTATTTTTTTTTTTTTTAATTTTCAAGTCAATTCAAAGCATTTTGTTGTTGTATGCAGTTTCCAGTAAACTTTAATAAATTTTTTTTATTTGTGAAAATTTCTATGTAATTCAAAAGTAATTTTTAGGATAAATCTTACACGACATTATTAATATGATTTTGGAGGTTGCAGAACAAATGTATTAAATTACTTTAAAAAATGAAAAATAATTATATCATTTGATTTCAAGATATTTTGTATATCTTAAAAATTAATTTATCCCGGGATTTCCCTGGATCCTGGGAAACAGTTCACTTTTATCCGAAAATCCTGGGGCAAGCAAAAGACCAGGAAATGAGAAACCCTAGAAAGTATAACAGTCAGGAAAGTAAAAAGAAATTTTAAAAAGGAGGGGAAAAAACAGTTACTACACTATAAAACCTTTTGATTAAAATTGACTGACAGTATATTACAAGTGACATATCAAAATGTATATTGACAAAACATAAATTGTTAGTCTGTCACTCACATTCACCAGAAACAAAAACAGTTTTCAACCACAGAGATAAACTTTTATTTGCGGCTATGTTGGCCAACAATAATCAAACTATTTGCTTTTAATTTCTGACATTGTCACCAGATGATTTTTAACTGTTGTTTCATATTTTCAGAGGCATAGCCTCAAATAAAAAGTTATTTCTGTGGTTGAAAACTGTTTTTCTTTTTGGTGAATACAAGTGATGGATTTTAAAAAGATAATTTGTTTTTTCAATATATAAGTTAAGTAACCATTTAAAAAAAGAGCATTTTTTTCTTTTTAAATGGTTACTTAACATATTATCCAGTTTGAAGCATGTTGTTAAATGCTACATTAGATATACATGTATTTCATGAAATATATAACTTTTAACTTTCTGTTCTATGTTTTGAAAAATGCATCCATTTATATCTACATTTTCAAACCTCAGGATGACAGTTTAAAATGGAAGGAAACATTCATTTTTGCTGGTTTATTGATATTTATGTCTAATTGAGGTTAATTATATTAATTTATACCAGTAGTTTCATAGAGATTGTAAAGTATTTCTTTTTGAAAAAAGAATAAAACAGGAAATAAAATATAATGTCATGATTTCTTTAAAGAAGAAAAATGTTTTCAAAGATATATTCAAAGTTATAAAAGGCATAAGATTTCATTGAATTCATTTTTGAGGCAAAGTAGAATGTAAACTGTTATTAGTGTTATAAAAATAATTGATTATAAAAATGAAAATCTTACAACTACTGAGAAATACAATGCTTAATAGTAAAACATGCACTCCACAAATATCTTAAAAATTGCATTAATTTTTAAGGTATTTGTGGAGTGTTTTACTATGAAAATTTTGACTAGTAAACAATAATTACTATGCAAAATTTATCATAATTTTGAGATCAGATTTATCCTAGAAGCATTACATTGTGAGATAAGACTTATTAATCAGGTGCAACTTATTTTTATGAAATGTTAAGTATAAAAGAAAATGTCAATTGATATATTCAAACCATTGACTTCATAAGAAATCAGCATAGTCTTCTGTCTGTTGACTAAATTGACTGAACAATTATTGATAATGATGTAACTTAAAAATTAAATTTTTTATTTACATAAGTAAGAATATATTATAAGATATGTTTAAATTAAATATAATTATTAATTAGAATTTGTTTTATAACAGATGTGACATGACAGCTTACTCATTTATAACATAAGAATAAATTAAACAATCAAGAGGAAAGTTTTAATATATAAAGAATGAACACTGGAAACATTTTTACTGGTGAAGAGAAAGTAAGCAACTTTTTATATTATTATTATTTGTAAATTATTTACTGGTATATTTAAATTTTTAAGTTACTATTTTTTGGTGTATAAATATTACTTTAGTTGTATTTTAATCTTTCAGTAATATTAAAGTATGTAAGCTTAGTCATAAGCAAATTTATAAATCAGTGATATATTTTTTTATCTAAACTGTTTATTTAAATCACTCATTGGTGAATTTGAGATGCACTGTCTTCTGGTATTTTTGAACCGTGCCAGTAATTTATTTCACTTCAAACACAAATTATTTATCATATTTATACAGACACTTGGCAAATCACAGAATTAAATTTTATTCAGTTGATACGTGTTTCTTTCGTTTATACACATTTCGGGCATTTCTTGCCCCTCTTCAGCCAACTTTTTGATGAGTTTAAACAATTTTAAAATTGTTTAAACTCATCAAAAAGTTGGCTGAAGTGGGGCAAGAAATGCCCGAAACGTGTATAAACGAAAGAAACACATATCAACTGAATAAAATTTAATTCTGTGATTTGCCAATTGTCTGTATAAATACGATAAATAATTTGTGTTTGAATTGAGATGCATTGTCTTCTGTAGGCTATATATACTTTGTAACAATAGTTGAAATAAAAACATAATTACTTTGTTATATCAATACTTCTTTTTACTTTGTTAAATCAATAATATTCTATTTAGCATTATAATTAACTTATGAAATTTTATTTAATTTTGAAATTCAACATGAAACTTCAAATTTGTAATAAAAATGTTTTTGGAATTCAGTTATATAAATTAAATACACAGTCCAAAGATAAAAAAGTTTGTAGGTGCATCATCAGTGATTTGCTGGACATGTATTTATTAGTGAAAAGGATATAGCATGAATACCACCTGTTTCCATCTGTATCATAAAAGTCACACACATGATTTATATCTGGATGTTTTATCTTTATGGACTCACCTTTCTTTTACTTCTTTACCATATAAGTAACCATATTTTTATATTTGTACAAAAGCTCTAGCACTTCTCACTGGCAAAAGCATAGTTAGTTTTCATATTGTACCAACTCAGTGCTGGTGTAATTTTCCAATATAATTTAAACTAACAATAATCATGCATTCTTGTAGAAAACTTTCTTGCTGACAAACCCAATTTCAAAATCATTTGCATTTCTTGGATGATAAAAAAATATTGCCGAGCCTTACACTTAAACAGGTAGATCTATGCCAGTGTTTCCCAACGTGGGGCAATTTGATTGTTAATGAGGCAATTCGAAAATGGACTCGACCAGAGTTTAAGTTAACCGTATGGCTGCTGTATATGTTAGGGGGGCAAAAGAATTTTAGAAAGGCTTAGGTGGGGCATAGCACATAAAAGGTTGGGAAACATTGATCTATGCCTTATCTAATATGATCACAGATTTCTTCTCATCCCTATCATCGGGTAATTTTTATAGTCTCTAGGCATTGATTTCCTGCTCTGCAATGTACTGAAAAAGGATTTAATGAACACAGGATTGTACTTCTTTTCTAAGTCTAATTTCTGGACACTTATGCAATTACTTGAAATACAATAGTTTTTTGAGTGGTATGATTTTTACCAGTGACCAAAGCTTTTACTTTCTATTATCTCTTGTGGTTCAGCAAGTCTGGTTGGGTATGTATCACAGTTTTGTCTGCCTTGTTTGCTATGCAAAATTTGTTTCATATGCAGTAGACAATATATTCCCATCTTTGAAATATGCAGGTTTTTTCCTTACCCTGCTGAATAATTGCACTATAATTGATATCCTTCCTTAGGAAGTGTTGTTAAGTATCTTTTGCAACAAAAGTAAATTTCAGAAAGTATTTTATTTTACCAGCTAATATCATTAACAATAGCAGATATGACTCTTTTTGAAAGATGTTGGTGTATGGACTGTTTTACTTATGTATTCTACTTAAGGACAACATGTATTTTTCCTAAGGCTGAATGAAACTATCGGTATTTAATAGAAAGATGGGAGGATAATAGTCTAAATATAATTATGGTCATGCCACATAATGTCCATTTGGAAAATGTCTTACCACATACATCTCATAAGGATATAATATTGGATATTTTGGTCACTGTGAAAATCTTGTAGGACATTGGCCTAATCTGGTGGGAAAATGTAGTTGGTATATGGAGAAGCTTGTTAAGAACTTGAGAACACTGATTGAATGTTCCTTTTGTACAAGGTGATTGTGCTACCAGGTTTAAAGTTTACTATGTAACAAGCATTACTAGGTCCTAAAATTTAAAGTTTTCAGAAAATGTTGCAAAAAGTTTTTGGATTTTCTCAAATTTAAAATAAATATTATATTACAAATAAGAAAATTGATATGCAGGAATAATTACAGTAGTAATTGTTTATTATGTATGTATACAGTATCTTGGCTATTTAGTCAATGCACTACAGTATCTCATAAAGTTTTGCATAGTATGTATGTAATAGTGTTTGCATAATATCAGAATTGCAAAATGTACTATTTCACAGAATGTATTGTAGACATTAAGCAATACATGACATATTGGCCATGGACTGTTTTGAATATATTAAATTACTATAAACTACTTGTATTATATAACTATCAATTATTGTGTAAATGATATTTTTTTTTTTTGTTTGTGATATTAAAAACTATTTTCATTGTATTTTCATTGTATTTCATTGTATTTTCATTGTATACAATATAAATTCAATGAAATCATATTTATTGTTAATAAATATTTTTTCATATAAATGCTAAAGATATCTGATATGAATAAGAAATATGTTTAAAAAAATCTAAATTATTTTTCTTTTTTTCATTTAGATCTATAATTGAAATGCAAATAATGCTTAAATTAACTAAGGTTCAGAATTTTTTTAAATTAGATACTTAGTATGTAATATTGTAATTTTTTATATTTTAATTTTTAGCTATGTCATAATAACAATGATGATGATAATACATTGGATTTTAAAATAAGTGTTGTAATTAATTTACAGGAATTATCTGACAAAAGATCAGAAGTTAAGGGGAAAAGTTGGAAACGTGAACGTGAAGAGAGAGGGCGAAGACAACAATTGAGAGAACAAAACCAATTTACATCAACAAATGATAATATAGAAGTTCAAGATATTTTGCCACTTTCTTCTGATAACCAAAATATTTATATTGACATAAAAAATAATGAATGCCTTCAAGAAGAACTAAATAGGGAAACCAATGAAATTGTGGAAGAAAAAAAGGGATGGGGAGATGGTTGGAAAAGAAAAAAAGGTAATATAGATAAATTATCATCTTGTGTTAAATTTAATAATTAAAAATAAATAAATTAATTTAGAATATTCTGGAATAAAAGAGTGATTCAGAGTGGAACTCAAACCTGCAACTTTTGCTTATATGCAAATATATTGCCAATTAAACTATCTGAACTTCTGTCCAATTTTCACTTCCAGCTTAATTCATTTAGACATAACAGCACAGGTTATAACGTTAAAGTGAATTGCTTACCTTCCAAATGATGATGATGATGGCACTTAGATCCTAGCTTAAGCTTTTATCCTTGCATGATAGACAAAATAAAATAATGATTACAAAATAAAAAATACAATGAACCAAATGTGTTACAAAATACTGTGCAAATACAAATACAGTATTTGTACAGTATCTTGTAACACAGTACTAAATATCAAATTTTATTGTATTAATTAAAATTTGATATTTAAAAAATATCAAATTTTAATTAATACAATAAAATCAGATGAAATGCTAATGATAAAATCTTTAAAAAATCCTATATGTTTTGAAATTCTATTTTTAAATTTACAAATCTTGTAAAAGTTTTAAATAATCTACAAATCTTTTTCAGACCCTAGCTGTGTATTATTAAGAAACCACTTCCATGACACTAAGTTATTGTTATCCTTGGGTTTTAGGAGTCTGTTATTGGGGAATATCAGTGTAAATGGTGCTTGAATATTCAATACCTAGTATCCTCTAGGAAATCGGTATCCAGATCCAAAGCAACATGTTTCCATTTATAAGTCTCAATTTTTTTAGTATAATACCATCTAAAAATTGCATTTAATATAGCCTTTAAAAATTGTAAATGAGCAAAATTATTCAAAATAATTAGTAAATATTACATTATTCTATATAACTGTTTTTAATTGAATGTACTTACTGAACTGACAAATTACTGTCTGATTTAAAAAAAATTATTATAAGACTCTCTGAAATCACTAAGTTGTTTGTTATAAAAAATTCAAACATGTTTTTGACAAGACTGTGTCTTGTTTATAAAATCGTACTGTCACTTGTTATCAGCATAGAGGTATGAAGAAGTACATATCAAGAGTTGATATTTGGCACAGAGTATTAGGTGTCCAAATCATTTGCGCATAAAAAAATCCAGACTCTTAGGTAGTCAGGGGACCGAGAATCTAGTCAAAATAAAATCAAAATGGCAACCCTCTTCTACAAACAGGCAAAACAGCCACCTCACCCCACCAAAGTTGGGTAGGGGAGAGTACCACCCACAGTCATTCTAAGAAGTGAACTTTGACCTTAGGACTGAACACGTAGTTTCTTCTATGTTAAATAAAATTTGTAATCTAATTTTGTAAATTTGGGAGTGCTTCAAATATGACGTTAAAACGGTTTTATGTCATTACATGTGGATTTTTTTTAACATTATCTAGTATAGTATTAGGTCAGTCCATAAGTTCGTGCGCATTTTTATCTACAAAAAAAGCAACAAAAAATTTTAATTAAATTTTATTTCAATCTATAATGTATTCACCATTATTTTGTACAATTTCTTGCCATCTTGATGGTAGCTTTTTAATCCCGTCTTTGTAAAATGATTTCGATTTTGAATCAAAATATTCAGAAATAGCCTTTTTTACATTGTTCTCATCCTCAAAAGTTTTTCCTTTTAAAAAATTCTGCAAACTCCGAAAAAGATGATAATCACTGGGAGCAATATCTGGCAAATATGGTGGATGAGGTAAAATTTCCCAGTTGAAGCTTTTGAGTTGAGCAGTTGACGTTGTTGTCAGTTAGCTATTGACAGTTCATGTGGTATCCATTTTCCTAGCTTTGAAACTTTTCCGATTTGTTGTAGATGTCTATGAACAGTTCCATGGGATGAATTTAAACGTTCCGCAATTTCATCAACTGTTAAAGATGGTTCTGCTTCAACTAGTGCAGAGAGAGCATCATCATCAAAGTCAACGGGTCTTCCAGTACGAGCCTTATCCTCCACACTAAAATCATTATTTCTAAATCTTTCAAACCACTTCTGCGCAGTCCTTACACTAATTACAGTTTGATTATGAACAGTATTTAATTTTTTGGCTGCATTTGTAGCATTCTCATCACTTAAAAATAAAAAGTATAAAACATGTCTCTTATATTCATCTGTTACTTCCATTTTAACGAAAATAAACAACTGAAATGTTCCCAATTCTGAACAGTATTATATGAATGAGATCCAATTTAACACTTCAGTGTAAAAAGTATCACATTAGACTGGCATTTTTAACATCAAAACAAGATTTTTCTCAAGATCATAAAATACTCACGAACTTATGGACTGACCTGATAAAATCGTAGGACCGATAAAAATTTGACGTTATATTAGGGTTGTCATTACATTCGATGACATTATAATCGGGTTAAACTTTATATTGTTTGTGCAAAATAAAAAAATAATTTTGGACGATACAATAGCCATGATTATTTTTTTTCAAAAACGGGAACTTTTTGTTACACATCGACAAAAATTCAACCCGGGCTGACACGCAACAGAGAGAAATTTTGAAATTATATAGGTTAATTTCATTGAAGATGCATCGTGGACAATCTTGTGGTTGTGGCCGGCAAAGTTTGAATGATTGCGCCCAAAAGCAGCGATATCAAAGAAGATAGAAGAATGAGAACGAGACCTGCCTTGAGCATCAAAGTGATTCCATCTCCGAGACATAGTCTTGTCCCAAATAAGGTTTTGCTGTTTTACTTGTTTAATAATTGATTACATATTAACCCCTTAAGTTCCCAGCAATTTTTGATATTAATTTAATTAAACATAAAAAATACTAAAACTGAAAAAAACAAAAGAAATGCTTTAATTTTGAAGAAAAAGCTTCAAACTTTCTTTTCCTTTGTCTCGCCTTTCTGTGAAATTTGACACCAATGAGTCATTGTTTACACAGCTGGATGACCTTGAACATAGCTGGAGTCAGATTTCCCGGGACATTCTCATAGAAGTCTCGGGAGGACAAGGGTTTAAAGTAGGGTGAGCTCTATCTCGCAGTATATTTAAAATATTTTTAAAAAATTCAAATTTTAATTGCGATTTCCGACCCCCCTGACTTAATTAAACATGTATATAATAAAATATGTTAATTAAAAAAATTAAAAAACTATTGGAGGTGGTTTTTGACATCAGAAAGCAGCTTTAAATAACTTTACCGAAGAAAAATCCGTGCACTACAACTTTAGAACGATTAATTAATTTTGATAAAAAAATCCCATTAAAAAACAATTAAGCCTTAATCGAGCCTTATCAAAGGCTAATTAAAATCGTGATAAAATTTTTTTGTGCGGGTAAAAATTTTTGAAAAAATTTCGGGACTTAAAAAACATTCCAAAAATTCAAAAAAAAAAATACAAAAATATTTTTGGGGGGCCAAAAGGACTGAGTTTTATGTAAGCTATGTAGCCTGCCCAAGTTAACTCAGGCGAAGAACTTAAGGCGTTAATGAATACCAATTTATATACTGTGTATTCGTATTTGTTAATAAGTAATCCATTATTAAACCTGAAAAGTTCCTGGAGTTGCTTGCATGAATTCAATTGCAGATCCCTTAAGTAGTAGGATGGTACCTTAAGTACATCAATAAAATATCTTTCCAAATATTGTTTTAATATTTAAAATTTGCTTACTAATGTACTAATAAAAATATTAAAAATAATTATAACTATAATAATTATCATTTAACAGATGTATATTCATTAGATACACTGTGTATAAAATGTTGTTTGATATATAATAATATAATTTGGTAATTAAGTCTTTTAGTACATTTGATTTATTTAGTTGTATTAATTTTAGAAAATAGTATTGAAGAAGAAAATGAAATAATTGATGTTCCTAATGTTAATAAACAAGATGAAGTTTACAGTTGTGAAGATAAAACATTTGAAGAAATACCAAAGGTAATAAATTAAATTTTTTTTACAATTTATTCTACAAAATTCTATTATAAATATCAAAACTAAACAGTTATAATTTAGTGTTGTGTTCGTTAGAATATCCACTAACGTTTTCGACCTCCATCGAAGTCTTCTTCAGGTGCAGACTAAGCATTGTCTTGGACGACATCGTTCTAACGGTCAAGGGGAGATAATGCTTAGTCTGCACCTGAAGAAGACCTCGGTGGAGGTTGAAAATGCTAGTGGATATTGTAATGAACACAACACTGATAAAGGTTTTTGTGGACAGTTATTACTCAACATAGTGTTATGGTTCGAAGATGTTTGAGTTATAATTCAAAAAATATTTTGGAGATTATGTAATAAAATTTTCAACAGTAATATAAATGCTGTAAAATAATAATTTGTATGATATTGTTATATAATACTAGCAGATGAGTCCGGTGTTGCTTGGGCAAAGAGTAATGATAGCAAAGATTAAGATTATTAGATTATAGTCGATCTTACCTATTTTCACAGAGTGCATGAATTAGGTCCCCCTCTTCCGAGACTAATTAGAGAATTTTTAGATGGGTCTAAAAATATGTTTGATTTTCCACAAAAATGCAAAAATCCACATTTAAAATAGTACAGTAGAAGCCGAGTTCTTCAGGGTTATCATTAATTCCCTCTCCCCCCACGGGGAATTTCCAAAAATTCTTTCTTGTGTGCATTCTCATGATGTACCCAAACTGTACCAAATTTCAAGTTTCAACTCCTAACTGTTTGGGCTCTGTGCTTATTTTTATTATGGCTTTGCACTTATTATTATCATTAACCCATCTCCATTATATATATAGATTACTATATATAGAAAAAGGCTTTGAATGGTCCATAACGTTCCAGATATATATGACACAGATCCAGATATATATTCCACAACATTCCAGAATGTTTTGGGATGTTCTGGAATGTTCNACCCATCTCCATTATATATATATATATATATATAGATAATATATTCTGATTTATTTTCCATTCTCATAATATTAAAAAGTAAGGGAGAGTTATTATTTCTGTTGTTGTTCAATAAAATGTTGAAAAATTCTGGATTTAAAGTTTTTCAAACATTTTTATGAAAATAAATATCTATTTAAAAATTATTTTATTGTTTGATGTCACATTATTATTGATTTAAATTATTTTTGAAAATCTTTATATATATATAATTTTTCTAATAAGTTACAGAAAATAATTATTGTAACATGATACTGTAATTGTACTACCAATTATTAATTTTACTTTTTTATCTTTTGATGTTATATCTAAACTCTTCATTTTTGTGATTAAAATATCTAAATTGTTTTAATTTTTATTTAGTATTTATTTTAAATATATTAATAAATTACATAATAAATACATACATCTTTTATATATCTTGCATATACTGTCACAAAAAGTTAGAGATTTTACAATTTCAAAAGGAAAATGTAATATGTAATTTTAACAAATACTGGAGATGGTTTATCAGCATGGGTAGTTATATTATATGTAAATTAGCATCATGACATCACAGCATGTGAGCTCTGATACAAATCTCTCCAGAAACGGGAAACTTGTTGCTTACTTCTTGGTCTAGAACAGCAATTTCAATTGGTGTTCCACAAAAATTTTTAAAGTTATTAAATAAATTATTTTTTATAAGAAACAAAACCTCTTTAAATTGATTATACATGTTTTTCATTGTTATCTATATATATAAAAATGAATGTATGTCTCTCTGTTCATCTGTCTATCTGTTCATCTGTCCTTCATGCATTACCACACCGTTTATCCGATTGCCATGTAACTTTGGGAAGTTGTTTAATATACTCCCGCAAAGGTTTCTGGCATAGTACATTTATCCTACGATAGATGGCATGCGTGTATACAAGCATTTCACTGTGCATGTGATCAATTTCAAATTGTGAAGACCATTTCCCCCCTTCAAAAAATATTTTTATATATGCATTTGTGAACTGTTATTTACGATATTTGTAATAATTTTTGTTTAATCACTTTATTTCAACTTTTTTTTGCTAATTATGTATTCGCTCAAACTTTGTTAAAATCTTAACCATACCCTGAACAACAACTGAAGTTGTAGGAGGAAATTCGCCTATTTTACCGATCTAGGTATCCCCCTTTTCCAAATTTTAATATCAACTCAAAATAATTTAAAAAGACAAATTACAATAAAACGGCTTATTATCCAACTATCAGAAATTTCACAACATGCCAAGGAAGAGAGGAAGAAGCAATTAAATAGTTAAAATTATAAAGGATTAAAAAATATATATAAAAATGGAGAATATTGCACTTCTGACAATTGCTGCAAGAGTGTGGGCTAAATTTGGAGAATGCGTGCTTCTTGCATGGACAACTGTATGTGGCCAGCTCACGCATTGGAAAACCTTCTGATTTATTCGTGTAAGCACCAGACGGAAAAACAAAAAATATCATGTATCCACAAGCACTCTAATAAATAAATAGAATTGAAACAACACTGTTTTCCTGACGAAAATTAATAATAATAATAAGTTTCAATAAAAATGATAAAATGTAAATTGAATTTTATCATAACGAGTTTGCTTGAATTTTGTTTCTTCTGAGATCGCAGCAATGCGCGACAGGTAAGCTAGTAATAAATAAATGTATACATAATGTAGTAAAAATGTATATTCACAAGCAAAATTATATTGCATAACACTGGGTTATTTCATTTAAAATGAAATTTTCTTTAAACCAAAAATGTATCTATAATTATCCACATTTATTTCAAATTATTTTAACTTAGAAATAGTGGGTCGTCGGGCAGATTTCTAAAGGCAATTAATTATCATACCATTTTTAAATGAAAATTAAGACTTTATGTTAATTGCTTTTCTTAGATCAGATATCTCATTAAATGTTCATTTATAATAAACCAAAAAATAAATAAGACTTTTTAAGAATTTTAATTATTATCTATTTATTAGAAATTATAATAAATTGTTTTGTGTCAATAAATAATTTATGGAAAATACAATTTTTCTTTTTTACTCCTTTTCAATCATTAAAATTTAAGTGTGCCATGGAAATTTAATTATAGGTTCGAGTGTGCCGTGAGAGAAAAAAAAAGGTTGAAAAAACACTGGTCTAGATGTTTGCAGAATGTTTTGTGTTCTTTGAGGGATTAATCTGTAATGTTGTCTAAATGATGATTAAACATTGACAACAGAAATAGTTGTTGACATTTTAGGCCTGTTTTATGATCATCCTTTGTGACATGGAAAACAGATAATTGCACTGTTGTTTTACAATCATATAAAATTGTATGGATCAGTTTCTGCAATTGGTTTGAGAGATGATTTTCTGCTTCAAGCCAAGCTTGAAATCTATCAGATGTGAAAACATTCCAGTCATTCAGAGGACTGTAAAATTATGAAGCATTCTAGTAAGATAGCTTCTAATAACAAATTTAATTTTACTATTATTTTTAACCAATCAGTCCAACAGAAACACTTCTAAGAAATCCACTAGTTGATTGTGAAACAGAAGTGAACGTAAAAACTGTATGTTTGTTTTGCAGACAGACAATTCTGCTAAAACCTCACATTTTGAATTGTGTGGCTTCTATTTTCTTGACAATTGTGAAACAGACTCTACAGTCAGGTGTATGGCAGTTTGATGTTACTATGGCTTTAGGAGTTTTGCAATAGTAAGTCAGCTCTTCACAAGATTTCTACAGTATTGAAATATTGCAGATCAACCCAGGAGTGGTTACTAGTAGCAAGATCACTTCAGAAGACTCTCAATTACTACTATCAAATTTCAGGAATCACTTAGAAATGCTTCTGATGTCACTATGTACTCAAATGGTACAAAACGTCTTTATGAATAATGAATGAGAGCGGTTTAATATTCTGGCGCTTGACTAGACATTTTAGCTTTTTAATACATTTGCGTTTCAGCCTATTCTCTAAAGAGTAAGATAATGCAATCACCCTGCTATTAACTTCCTTCAAAAGAGCTTGGTTCTCCTTATAAAGATCATTTTCCAAATTTATGAGAAGGTGCACCAATCTATAATATAGGCATCTTGTACATCTGATGGCCTTATTGAGGCATAAACACTTCAACTTTGGCAACAAACTATGACAATCCAACGGAAGTCTGATGTGATGAATTGACATAGGGAAAACTCCATTATAACAACATTGGCTAAGAAATCTTAGCCAATGTCGTTATAAGACAATGACCTTTATAAGGAGAACCAAGCTCTTTTGAAGGAAGTTAATAGCAGGGTGATTGCATTATCTTACTCTTTAGAGAATAGGCTGAAATGCAAATATATTAAAAAGCTAAAATGGCTATTCAAGTGCCAGAATATTAAACTGAGGGTAAGAAAAGCAGTGTTATTAACCGCTTGGGACAACATTTCTCTTCCACAATGCTTGTTGAATGCTTTGGAATACGGTCCTTGTTTTTCTCCTATACTGATAGTACGCCTGAGGACATCATACCGAATATTGAGATGCTTATAAAAGGACACGAGTTTAACTATGCAGGATTACTATAGATGGAAAACGAGATTCCAAGCCGAAAATGAGAAACGAAACAACAAAAACGCGTTACATTTCCAAAGGTTATAAAAGAAACCAGAGATTGGCTCAGAAAGAACGATGTTGTGCTCATAAAAGCAGATAAAACAAAGGGTATGGTGCTCATTAAGAGGGATTCATATAGAAAGAAATTGCATGAATACATGTTAGTACAGAGTCTCTTATTGCACCGAATAATTTTTTAGAAGCTTTACAACAAAGAGTGAGGAGATTTACGCTAACCCTTTTGGCATGTCTTTTGGATATGGAGAGTGCTGTTGTGCAGACCCCAAGAACCCCAAGAATTTTCACATTCGGAAAGACACATAAGCCAGGAACATAGTTGCGCGCGGTTGTGGAGAAATTTAATGCACCTACGTTCAAGATAGAGAAACAACTGGT